CTCGTTTACCGAAACAGTGGACTAGGTTCAGTCCCCAGAAGTGGTGGCCGGATGTGCTTCAAACCCAGGATAGACCCAGCCTTGAATCTCGCTCATTTCCGGACTTATCTGAGAAGGAAAGGCGACGAGGAAAGCAAGTGACCATCAGTAAAGGTGGGATCTAAGAGATTCGGCATCCTGAGATTCCAATACGTTCAGCAAAGCATATTCAAAGAGCATGTTGGGGAAAGATGGAGACAGGCATGCTCCGTGCTGAGTGGCAAGCGACGCTTCAGAGGTCCCCAGTAGTTAGCGTCCTTTGAATATTTTCTCCAGGTCATGCTGGTGTGTTGGAAAACGTGCGGGCAGATACACTGGCCGGTTCTGCACCACTAAGTGATGAGCAGATGTATGACAACAAGCTAGGTGTTGTGAGGTCCCTTCGGGGGAGACTGAACAGTGCACTACAGTGCAGAGTGACAAACAGATCATTACGGTCTGAAGAGAATGGCTCTACGGGAAAGTTACTAAAGGATCTGGCTAATGCTTAACACTTAAGGGAAGGGCGAGACAGATAAACAACCAGACAGTTACTGATGCCATCGTAATTTGAACTCTTCGCTTGCTGCTGAAGATGGGGACAGAGCGCACATGGGAGTGTCCGGACTTCTGTGATGTCGATTCTTGATTCAAAATTCAACAGTGCAAAAAGAGGGGAAGGGGGGAAGGGAAATGGGGGGGGGGGGGGAGATTCGGGGCTCAGCAACTTAACAGTTGTACCGATAACCATGTACAGACTGACTGACTTTCTACCCCACTAGGACATCACACAAGCGATAAACACCCGATGACACAAAGTGCCACCATGTGGGTGAGGATCACCGTGGAGAGTTCACAGAAACCGCGTTCAGACAATTGGCCATATTTATGGCCTACCTATATTGCGGCCCCTGGCAAAAGCCAGAGTGGGGCTTCAAATAACCAAAAATTACGTCCTAAAGAGGACGTAAGGATCACCATGTACAGAAGTTGTCTGGTTGTTTTATGTAAACCGATGTTATTTCAAATATAATGTGATATCTTTTTGTCATTCAGGATTATTATTGTTATTATTTTAAAGCACTTAGGCCATGCTTGGAAGCCGCCGTGGTGTGGCGAATAGACGCTTGCCTGCGGATCGGAAGGTCTGCGTTCGGGTTCTGAGAGAGCTGGACTTCTTTTAAAACCGACCTTGGCTCCCACGTCGATTCATGCTTAAGTGGGAACAGGTATAGTCCTTGAAAGTAAAGGCGGTCGATGTGATGTTGACAACTAAAGATTTTAATCTGACAAAATGTCCCAGTTAGCCAAAAAGCATGACAAGAATAACGATTTTACTCTGACAAAATGTCCCAGATAGCTAAAAGTCATGACATGACTAAAGATTTTACTCTGACAAAATGTCCCAGATAGCTAAAAGTCATGACATGACTAAAGATTTTACTCTGACAAAATGTCCCAGATAGCTAAAAGTCATGACATGACTAAAGATTTTACTCTGACAAAATGTCCCAGACAGCTAAAAGTCATGACATGACTAAAACTTTTACTCTGACAAAATGTCCCAGATAGCTAAAAGTCATGACATGACTAAAACTTTTACTCTGACAAAATGTCCCAGATAGCTAAAAGTCATGACATGACTAAAAATTTTACTCTGACAAAATATCCCAGATAGTTAAAAGTCATGACATGACTAAAACTTTTACTCTGACAAAATGTCCCAGATAGCCAAAAGTCATGACATGACTAAAACTTTTACTCTGACAAAATGTCCCAGATAGCCATAATTCATGACATGACTAAAACTTTTACTCTGACAAAATGTCCCAGATAGCTAAAAGTCATGACATGACTAAAACTTTTACTCTGACAAAATGTCCTAGATAGCCAAAAGTCATGACATGGCTAAAACTTTTACTCTGACAAAATGTCCCAGCTAGCTAAAAGTCATGACATGACTAAAACTTTTACTCTGACCGAATGTCCCAGATAGCCAAAAGTCATGTTATACCTGAAGCTTCAACTCTGACAAAATGTCCCAGCTAGCTAAAAGTCATGACATGACTAAAACGTTTACTCTGACAAAATGTCCCAGATAGCTAAAAGTCATGACATGACTAAAGCTTTTACTCTGACAAAATGTCCCAGATAGCTAAAAGTCATCACATGACTAAAACTTTTACTCTGACAAAATGTCCCAGATAGCCAAAAGTCACGACATGACTAAAACTTTTACTCTGACAAAATGTCCCAGATAGCTAAAAGTCATGACATGACTAAAGCTTTTACTCTGACAAAATGTCCCAGATAGCTAAAAGTCATGACATGACTAAAACTTTTACTCTGACCGAATGTCCCAGATAGCCAAAAGTCATGTTATACCTGAAGCTTCAACTCTGACAAAATGCCCTAGATAGTCACTGGTCCTCGGATTACATAAGCTTTTACTTGGAAATGTCACAGATGATAAAAGGTCGTAGCACTACTAAAACTTTTACTCCGAGAAAACGCTCCAAATGGTTTGAGGGCATCGCATTATTAAAGCCTTAATTGCCCACATAGTGAAAGGTCATCAGGTCTTCGAAGATTTTACTCGGGCAAAATACCCCACATGGTCAAAGTCACCATCTCAGTAAACCACAAAGCATGAAGAAAGTGCTTTACTTTCTACTAGTATTTTTTTTATCCTCTTATGCATTCTTCTGAACATCGCAATATTCAATTGTTACTCCAATGAAATGTCCCAGGACGGTGTGTCACCCATCAAAGTAGAAATGCTTTAGCGCCAAATGCCTCTGGTGCATCGTAAGGTACACAATTAGTAATTTACTTGTCACTTTTACATTCATTTTCAACTGCAGGCGTGTGGTCATGGCCTTACCAAAGTTTTCCCACACATTTGTCCCAGATGGTCAAAATAATGCCCTTTCTCATCTCATTGGCCTTTATGCCTAGTGGCACTTAAGACTTCAGAGAGGACTTTCCATGCTTTCCTGTGCTGTGCAATCTTCAGTTCGGTTTTCCATGTCAGACATGCAGTACATAGTTCACTTTCCATCGTTCGTCTCCACGTTGTTTTTTGGTCGCTCCTTCTTTCTCTTTCCCTCTGGTGTCCATGTTTTGGCAGGTATATAAAGATTCATTCTCAAAACGTGACCAAGCCATTTCCATATTCTCATGATTATCATACTGTCCAGAGTTTCTTGGTTTGTAACTTGAAGTTGTTTGGTGTTTAAGAAGTAGTGTGGTAAGCACTACTTGAAAACGTGACAATTTTAAACACAAATGTGCAGACAGTATTACTATGAATTCTCGAGGCTTTCAGCAACATCCAGAAAATCAACTGCTATTCTAAATTTAGCCTCAGAATCTTATATAGCACCAGAAATGCAGCGATTGGTTGAGACATTTTTATATGTCCAAGCATGACTGATTTTATTATACTCGTTATTACTTTCTCCCCCCGACCCTCAAAACCCCACTTCCTCTCCAATCGTTTTGGATCCTGTTGTAAAACTAACAACTAACAAGCTATCTGAATTCTAGCGAACAATGTCGCAACGGGTGACGCACAATAAAAATATAAGCGATCTGGGCTTTTTATATCAAGTTGTGCTCCTGCTGGCAGTACATTGTACCAGAAAGGTATTGTCCAACCCCCCCCCCCCCCCCCCATTTCCCCACCCCTACCCCCACCGCCCTACACCAACCACCCCACACCCACTCTTTTCCTGTTCGGTTAGTGGATTGATTTTAAACGCTTCTTGTCTTAGTGAAAGTGGAGATTACCGAGAAGATAAGCATAGTGTATAGGAAACGCCACAGACAAAGTGGCACTCGAAATCTGTCGATATGTCTTATCTCTTCGGTCAATCCCTAGTTTGGCAAGTGCAGGCTGGAGAATTTCAACACGGGAATAAGACGGTGCACACAGAATAAGCATATTAATATTTGTTCTCCCTGTGTGGGTTTCAAGGTGAATTTTTGGTGAACAAAATATTAATTTAAAAAAAAATAATAATAATAATTACATCCACTGCCCCGTATGAAGAGTATGTTACATTTAAGGGTGTATAAGTGGGGTGTGGTAAAGTCGGATGTGTTGTGTCGAAAGTCACAGATAGCAAAACCTAAATGTGAGCTATAATACATCACGTCAGTTGCCCTTTTAGAAGAAGAAGAAGAAGAAGAAGAAGAAGAAGAAGAAGAAGAAGAAGAAGTAGTAGTAGTAGTAGTAGAAGAAGCATTTATCGTCTGCAGTTAAATTAGCAGGGTAGCCTCGATGTTAGTGGGGCACCAGTGCAACTGCCCCGCCTAGGCGTGCCTTGATATGTCCCGTTACTAAGGCGTCGACTTGAAACATTGCAGCCCAGCCCACTCTACAATGCCGACTGAGACCAAGCTGTGATTTACAGACAGGCAGTAGTTCCTTCTAATCTGCCTTCGACACGCAGTTACAAGAAGGAACAGCACCTTGCGGATGGGGGTTCGAAACAGGTTGCTAAAACTGCGTCTTGTTGATAAATTCCAATGTTTACTGTCCAGTTCCGGTGTAATGCTGACTACATTACCCACCTAGTGCCGATGGTCTGAAAAAAAAATGGGCGCTTCTCCCATAAACACGATGCGCCTAAAGGCGTGAAAAGGAATCTTTACTTTACTTTACTTACTGTCTAGTCAAACAAAATATAAAATATTGTTTCTACAATTGTTAAGTAAAGTGAAGTACTCTTTTCCACTCCTTTATTGAACAAATAATGCCAGACCCATTCTATATTGACTAGGTGGGTGATATTGTCAACATCACGCTGACCGCCTTTATTTCTAAGGACTTTACCTGGTACCCATTTAAGGCTGGGTCGAGAGGGGAAGTAATTTTTTCAAAGAAAAAAAAACCTCTGGACCTATTGCTATTAAGGGTTTCCATTGGATGTTAGTCGAGGTTTTAATGAGATGTTGCTAGTCGAAATGTTGATGAGATGTTGGTAGTAGGGATTTCTATTAGTTCTTTCCAGTCCAGATTTGATGAGATGTTGGTAGTAGGGATTTCTATTAGTTCTTTCCAGTCCAGATTTGATGAGATGTTGGTAGTAGGGATTTCTATTAGTTCTTTCCAGTCCAGATTTGATGAGATGTTGGTAGTAGGGATTTCTATGAGTTCTTGCTAGTCGAGATTTTGATGAGATGTTGGTAATAGGAATTTCCATGAGATGTTCCTAGTAGGTGTTTTGATGAGATGTAGAGTAAAGTAGGTCAGTGTTTTGTACATTAGTGTAGAGTAAAGTAGTATAGAGTAAGGCTGAGTAGAGTAGAGTAGAGAAGAGCAGAGTTGAGTAGAGTAGATACGAATAGAGTAGAGTAGAGTAGAGCAAATCAGAGTATAATATTGTAGATTAGTGTAGAGTAGTATAGAGTAGAGTAAAGTAGAGCTGAGTAGAGTAGGCAGAGTAACGTAGAGTAGGCAGGGTAGAGTATAGTATTGCAGAGTATAGTAGAGTAGAGCAGAACAGAGTAGAGTAGAGCAGAGTATGGTATTGTAGAGTATAGTAGGGTATAGCACAGTAAAGCAGAACAGAACAGAGCAGAGCAGAGTAGAGTAGAGTATTTGACTCTTAAATATATACAGGAAATATATATAATGCAGCTGTTTTGTGTCTATAAAATGTTGCCTCACAGTGACCTCTAGGTAATTCCTATTGAAGGCTGCGGAAGCGACCCGGTAAATGCAGTATATGTTCCTTTATGCAAGAGCTGTTATGCGCATAATAAACAGCGCAATATACAGGTTTGGTCAGACCAACAAATCACGATTCAATGAGGTCCGGGTAGTTGTAAATGTGCATAAAATAATCATAAAGATTTGTATCGTTTGAAAAGACACAATTCATTCCACATCAAAAGATGTATGGGGTATGTCGTGAATCTGGGCCTGTGTCTGTTATTGGTGACATAAACCTGGTGTTCTGAATGCGAACCAGGAAGTCAGGAACATGACTGTTGTTGTCAGTCAGTTAATTAATCAGTAGCATGTCCTTTGCAGAACCTTACTTATCAGGGAAGTGAAGAAGGAAATAATTAGAGAGAATAATAATAATATATATATAGCGCCCCGAAGTGAAGTGAATTATCAGTGAAGTGAAGAAGGAAATAATTAAAGAGATTAATAATAATATTCGGTCAGAGTGGACGTATCTTCAGGTGATGACAGTTAACTGAACAACCCCGCATGAGTAGACTGAGGGTGTATGTTCTAACATGGACAAAGAACAGCAGAAGAGAGGCACAAGAAGTTAAAAGCAATATTGCATTTTGCTGTCTAACTGTTCTGTGTCTTCAGTTTCTTATTGAGGAAGATCTTCCCCAGGCCGATCCAGGGATATTGAAAAGCCAGCATCAGGATAAAGGCAGCCATGTTAGTTAGGACTACGATTTCACAGAATGGGACAACAATGCTGGCATCCTTGATGTAGTAGAGCCACCTCCGATCTCGTAGTGTATGTACAGAAGGTACAACAAACTGAGTTATGTTGGATATTTTTCTCTGGTTTTGTGCTTGAAACTAAAAGAATTCATTGCCGAAGCAATGGAATACATGCTGCGTGATTAACACCACCTTCAGCAAGTAACCGAGAGAGTGAAAAGAGGAAAAGACTAGGGAATGGAGAGAAAAGAATGTATAGAAATAGGAAAGCTGGAGCCCGGGGAGTCCGTATAAAATCTGAGCGTCTGGGATTAAAACCTATTAGAGTGGATTACTGGAGCTGTGGAAGTTTATATAATTATAAGGACATATATAAGAATCTCAGGGGTGCTTTCTCTGGCCAAACATATTTATTATATGGGCACACAATATGATGAGAGATGTCAAAAATGAACAGACTTGTGACAGTTATGTTCCGCTCAAAAGTGGTGGCAACCCTATTCCGGAACTTCACTACGCAGATGTCACAGTCCTCCTTTCGAACAGCGTAATGGAAATAGAAATGTTATTATTGTATGTCTAAAAGCAAAGTGAAGATCAGAATCTATTCTTGAATTTACAGATAAAAATGTCTGTCACCCAAAAGTAACAATAAATAATAAAGAAATTAAAAATATAACAAACTTTGAATGTCTATTCTCTATACAAAATAGCTATGAAGACATGTTTGACAGAAATTAAAAGGAGGATGGTCATAGCAACATACGGATGTGAGTCGTGGACTATCTCCCAGTCCTTAAGAAAGAGAATAGGCGCTTTTGAGCTGAAATGCTAAAGAAAGATTCTCAGAATATCTTTGACAAAGAAGAGGAGAAATACAGACTTCTTGAAAGATCTGAAAATCAAGGAAGATTGGTTAATAAACAGCATCCTGTCTCGGAAGCTGAAATATTTTGGTTATATCAAGCGTCAGGACGGATTAGAAAAAAAAATAGAAGACATGGTACCAAGAAGGAGGGGCAGGGGCCGACCAACACGAAGATGGGCACTGGGTACTAGTAAACACGAAGCGGGAAAGCTGGCGAGAGACCGAGTTTCTTTTATGCAGACCGTGATGAGAGCGACAGTCTGCAAAGGACCTGCTACATGAAGATATATAAGAATCTTCAACTATAATGTTATACTTTTTACATCTGCTAATGAAAGTTGGAACACCACCTAAAAAAATGAACGAATGTTAAAAGATTCGAAAACACGTGATTGCAGACAAGGATTAAACACATAACGGGATGCATCTAAGGAAGGAGAGGAAACTAGAGAAATGTCTGGACAACCTGTGGTTTCAAGAGCTACATGACAAAGACCATAGCAATATTTTGATCACAACAAGAAGATAAAACGACAGAAAATTACCAAAGAGGCACGGAAAGAAGAAACAAATAAAACGAGTAAAAGGGGGACACCCTAGGGAAGCCCTAAGACGAACTTTGGAGAAGTAAAGGCCAGATGTGTTGGACTGGATTCTATCAATGATATAGAAAAGATGGCGAATGATAAAACAAAGCTGATGACCAAAGGGTGAGTTTAAAATACTTTTTCAACAGAGCCAAGAGTTCTATATCCCAAAGCAATTCAGTCTACACATGATGATGTTTATGTGAATTGATAAACAAATAACTGAGGTATTTAACTACATTTGTGTAGTATTGTCTAAAGTAATCTACAAGGTGTGACGTAAGTTTTCATACATTGAAACACAATTGCCTTAACTGAAAACAGAAAGGAAGGAAGACAGAAAGAAAGAAAGAAAGAAAGAAAGAAAGAAAGAAAGAAAAAAAGAAAGAAAGAAAGAAAGAAAGAAAGAAAGAAAGAAAGAAAGAAAGAAAGAAAGAAAGAAAGAAAGAAAGAAAGAAAGAAAAAAAGAAAGAAAGAAAGAAAGAAAGAAAGAAAGAAAGAAAGAAAGAAAGAAAGAAAGAAAGAAAGACAGATAAAGAATGAAAAAGTCCATACTGTGTGTATTGACCACCCTTTTTAAAAGGGTGTTGTAGACTAGGGAAGGGTGCGGGGTGGGGTTGGGGGGTAGGGCAGTGTCTTTAAGCCCGAGGATTTAGGGCCGCATTGAAGCCTAACGTTGTAACCACACCACCAGCATGATTGTGTTGGAGACGCATTTCAGTGCGTGCTGTCTTTGCTGAAACACCCGTATAAACACAGCTGGAGTTATGTAATGACGTTGGGGGATGCTTGGATTTTGCTGTGTATGGATTATTATGGGACACCTGTGCAATTCAGGCAAACCCCAGCGACACTAAACCCCAGCGACACTAAACCCCAGCGACACTAAACCCCAGCGACACTAAACCCCAGCGACACTAAACCCCAGCGACACTAAACCCCAGCGACACTTGTGTCTCAGTCAAACCCGGTTTAGGATCCGTTTCTCACACGAACCGTTCTGTCTGGGTTTTGATTCTTCTCTTGATTTGTTCAAGCGGGGGTTTCCCACCAATGTCCCACATTCCTGTAAACAGGGTTTCTAACGTAACAACAATCAGTGACATAAAAAAGCCCATACATCTCCATCGTTCGCCACGGCGATGAGCAGACAGATTGTTCCACCGTGTTAACACGTGGGGAATGTGCACGACTATTGTGAGAAAAAGAGAAAAAAAAAAAACAGAAAAGAAAGAATGACATAAAAAAGATGTCAAAAAAAAAAGAAAACAGAAGAAAAAGGAGGAGAAGAAAAAGAAGAAGAAGAAGAAGAAGAAGAAGAAGAAGAAGAAGAAGAAGAAGAAGAAGAGAAGGAGGAGGAGAAAAAGAAGAAGAAGAAGAACAAGACGAAGAACAGGAAGAAGAACAAGAAGAAGAACAAGATGAACAAGAAGAAGAAGAAAAAGCAAAAAACAAAAAACAAAGACGGCCGTGCCCGTCTTTTTGACTAAAAATAAATTAGTTCTTTCTTTCTGTTAGTTCACTGTTAGTTATTCCACATTAGTGATTCAGTCATGCTGTGCAACATACAATCTGCCAAGGCAGTTAATGAATGCTTGTGTCTAAATGCCTACAACATTATGTCTCACTGTGCAGCAGCTAGTTGATAATTTCCCATGTTAATTGGTCATTTGCTGGCATTTATGTCGGTTATCAAAATTCGATGGTTTTTCTGAAATTAGTGATAGCACTGTTATATGTCCTCTAAAATTCCTCCTTCACTGATACATCCCTCCCTATCGTGTATCTGAGACACGCAACATCGCCATGCTTTAGTCCGCTCCAGATGCCGAGCTTTTAGAATTTGTAACTCTGCAACAGTTCAGTGTAAGCTGTTGAAATGTGGCTTGCAACAAGTCATTGTGAGAATATCATTTTTTTTTTAAACGATCCGGTCATCCTATTGTGGGTTGCAATTGTTCGTTATTTTGAAGCCCCACCCTGGCTTTTGTCGGGGGCCCTAAATATAGCCGGGCCTGAAATATGGCCTAACGGTTGAAAGGGGTTTCTGGGACCTCTCCACGGGGGAACCTCATCCGCATGGTGGCACTTTGTGTCACCGGGTATTTATTGCAATTTGATGTCCTGGTAGTGTACAACTTACCTACCTACCTACCTACGTTGTAAGAATTTTTGTTTTGAAATGTAAACAAATATACATATTTTTATGCATTATTTGCGGGGTGTGTGTGTGTGTGTGTGTGTGTGTGTGCGTGTGCGTGTGTGCGTGTGTGCGTGCGTGCGTGTGTGTGT